TTTTTTTTTTTTTTTTTTTTTTTTTTTTTTTTTGTAGGCTCACGACTGGTAGGGAATGTGTTACAGGATGAACTTTACCTTGAGTCTCATCTATGCCTGATTGAGATATTTAAGCAAGACTTTGTACTTAAGGTTTTTAAAGCTGGGGAGTGTGCTGCTCTGGGCGTGGGTGCTGCACCTACATCACGAACTACCAGTTCGACTGAGACCCAGTTCTTTCAGTGGGTCCATTCTATCCTCTACTCCATCTACTAGCTGCTGGAGCACAGGGAAAAGCCAGTGATCAGGAGCACGTCATCAACACTGAAGATGAAAACCTGAAGCATGGCTGTGATCAAAGAAGATAGTGACCCCTGGCATCTGCTGATGGGCTGCCAAGCATCGCTAAGGAGCTTGGGAGAGCCATGCAGACTCTGAGGAGAGACAGGAGGTACAGGAGGAATCTGCAGAACCTGCAGTATCCCTTGAACTGAAAAAAAAAAAAAAAAAAAAAAAAAAAAAACAGGTCCTATAGGAAGATGCTTTTAAAAAGTGGAACACAAAATTGGAAGGAAACAAGGCAGAGCAGATGTCCCTCATGCAGGGGAGAAAAGCAAAACTACAGACCCAGTGATGAATGTATGGGAACAATATAGGAACATAGATAGCCACAGTGGACAAAAACATGGCATTACTGAATAAGGATGGCTTTGTTGATGAGTGTGGTCCATGTTACCAGCAAAGGTTATATTGGATGTCCTTGGTCTTTTGCTGCCATCTGAAGCCATGTTCATGTCTGTGGCCTGTGCTGCTGCCAGGGATCATGTTGGTGCCATAGCCTGCGTTGCTGCCCTAGGCCATCCATACGAGGGCCATGATAGGTCTGTAGTCCATGCTCTAGCCAAGGGCTGTGTTGATGTCCATGGAGACCATGTAGAAGTCCATGATCTGTGCTGCTGCTGACTGTAAAGAGCAAGGAAGCTTCTTTTGCAGTGGTATCAATGGCTGCAGACTCAGTTGAAAATGAGAGACATAGAAGGTTTGTGACAACTCTCCTTCTCCACATACACTTGCCCCCTCCACCCACCTCAGCCCCAAATAAAATTTAGAGAGAAAGCTAGTGAAGAGAACTCTTAGAAATTGTGATAGGGATGCTGAAGTATAGCTCTTCACAGTTTATGGTTTTTGGTCGGGGTGGGGAAGGACTCAGTTTTCTTTAAGGGGCTGGCCAATGGGAGTTTGACTATACTCCAGTGAATATATGGGCAGGACAAAATGGGCTTGGTATTATTTTTCTTTCTTCTTATTTCTGGGGAGATGGTACTAAGGTAAGGGGGTGGACTTGGGAGGACTGGGAAGTGAATGTGATGGGGTACATTATATGAAATTTCCAAATAATCAATAAAAATATTATGTTGGATTAAAAAAAGATTTTCAAAGATGTTATTAAAATACATCAAGTCATAGGGGTATGGATTTGAAGCTGTGAAAAACAGGGGTAGAATGGCACGTTTTAAATGTGTCCCTGAAAAATTCATGTTGAAACGTGAGGGCACTGTCTTTATTCCTCATGGAGGTTGCAGTATATAAGAGCTACCCTCAAAATGGACATGGGGACCTTGCAAGACACTTAGAAATATCTAAAAGGTTTGTTTGTTTGTTTTAGAGACAGGGTTTCTTTGTATAGCCTTGGCTGTCCTTGACTGGCTGTCCACACTGGCCTCAAACTCGGAGATCTGCCTGACTCTGCCTCCCTGAGTGCTGGGATTACAGATGTGCACCACTGCGCCCAGCTTGCAGTGTCTAAAAGTTCTGACAAGACATTTCTCAGATGAAAATATGAGATGAAAATGTGCAGATATCTTTAATTATAAAGGACAAATAATTATTTTATGGCTTAGAACTGACAATGTCTATAGGAGAAATAAGACTTAATGTAGAAATCACCAACAATTTATTTTAATACCACTAGCTTCAACAGAAACAAATAGAATGAAATGTTTTATCTACTCTTCACAAAGAATATGTTGAAGAATAAAAGAAAAAAAGAACCAGAGTATTAAATAATGAGGTATTTACACCTTAAGTGAAAGAACTTTGTTTTTGGTTATAAAGCTTTCAGCGCTTTTATTGCAGATATACTTAGCATTTAACAAAAAATACTTTAAAACATATTTGAATTTTTATTTTATGTGTATGAGTGTTTTGCCTGCATGTATTTGCCCCACACGTGTGCCTGGAACTTGAAGAGGAAAGAAAAGATGTCAAATACTGAAACTGGAGTCACAGAAAGTTGTAAGCTGCTATGTGGGTTCTAGAAACTGAACCTAGGTCACCTTCAGTAAATGCTCTTAACTGCTGAGCTTTCTCTCTAGCACACATGAAAGTACTTTTTATACTTTAAAACAGGGTCTCTAGACTGGGTTGCTTCAAACCTACTATGTACCCAAGGCTAACCTAGGACTCATCTTCTGTTCTCTACCTCCCGAGTTCTGGGATCACAGGCATGTACCATCACACCCTGTTTATGAAGTGCTAGGGACTGAACCCATCCAAGGCCTTGTGTATGATAGAAAAACTATCCTAACAAGTGTTTCTCCAGCCCACACAGGTATTCTGTAAAAAGTAGTGCCCATAATAAAGTGCTTTTGTGATTCAGATGAGCTAGTACTAGCCGGTACAAAACATTACTATTGCAGTATATTAATGGTCAGAAAGCATTGCAGAGTATCTATTTCAAAAAAAGAAGAGGAATATAGCCAAATTTAGTCTTATTTGTAGCCTTTAATTTAGCTTCACTGGCTACTCAGCAAAATTCCTTGCTTTGCAAATTGGATGACTTGTATCAGTTACCTTTCTTAACAGTATAAAGAAAAAAAACAATGTATGGAGTAGCACCTGAAGAATTCTTGAATGAAGAAGAATGTTTCTTTTCTATGCAAGCCTGTGACTTTTTCTTTAATCAACACTGAGAAAAAAGAGATAAATTTTATTTCACACATTTCTTTTCAACAAAGAGATTAATATCTTCTGATTATATAATGAAAAGACTCTTGGGATAAAGAGTAGAGGTCCACTGTAGGACATTTTCTATAGCCCAATATTTATGATTTATAAATTTACAAAATTCAAATGTTTTGTTTTATTACTGATTCTTCTATTGGAAAAATGGTCAAGAGAATTTACTTAAACCTTAAATATATTTGGTTTCTCACAGAACTGCAGAAATCAGTGGCAGGCAACTTTGTATGAGTAATAAAAGGACTGAATATTTAATTTCACTTTATGGAATGCTGTAGTACTTAAAACTCTCCAGGTAACCTCATCATAGCCAAAAGATGTGCAAGGAACGCTAATTATTTCCTGTATCTCCTCTCATTCTTCCGTTTTGAAACAGTGGTTTAGCTAGCTGTGCAATCATTATGCTAGAGAATATACTTACTCAGTAGCCTTCCTTACTATTAGGTGTGACCATGTCACTAAAATTAAGTTCTACTATATTCCTTCTTTACTAGGGAGAGAACCAAAAGTTAGGCTCTTTCCTCCAAACATAACATGCTATTTTAGGATGGTGGTGGCACAAAGAGAAGAAAAATGACACAAAACTCCCTGCCACTTTGTAGGTCTAAACTTGGTTACTATAGATCACTGGTTGGGTCATTCATTATATGGGTCAGCTTTCAGGTGGGAATGTGGTCCCGAAACATCCTAGCCTCTCATCTGTGAATGTTCCTCAACAGATCAATTCTTTCAAGTACAACTTTAGAAAGAGCAGTTGGGTTCATTCACTTTTCTGCCATCATTGGTTCTATTTTTTTCTTTGCTCTGTAATCATTACTTAAAGATCCACCTTTTATCACATCAAAATTCATCTCCAATGCAGATGAGCCCCCAATTTGCATTTCTAAGTGTAACTTTACTTCAAAGAACCAGTTTCAACTGCTTGCTGAGAATCCTCCTTAGCTGTCTGCTAGAACTTAAACTCAAGATAACTAAACAAATAAAACAAAAACCTTCTTTACCACTATCACCAGGAATATAGTATTTTGCATTTTTGAGAACACATTTTAAATCTTTAAACAACCAATACTGAAAATCTTGCTGGGTGCAAGTGGTGCACATCTGTAATCCCAGCATTCAGGGAGGCAGAGGCAGGTGGATCTCTGTGAGTTTAAGGCCAGCCTGGTCTACAAAGTGAGTCCAGGACAGCTAAGGCTACACAAAGAAACCCAGTCTTGAAAAACCAAAAGAAAAAAATGGAAAAATAGTCTGGGAAGTAGTATATAATTTTTAAAACACCAGGTTTGACTTCAAAGCTTTGCTCTTATCACATTACTGAAGGAAAAAAAAAAGTGTCATTTTATTATTATAGTTTCTAAATGAGCTTGTTTTACCTAAAAAATTCAATATTATATCCCAAAGTACAAATATAACAGAAAAATTAGTGAGTTGGACTTGGTAACTTATAGAACAAATGACCACCCAAGAAATGTCAGCAATAGCCTTGTTTGAGAAACACATTTTGCATCTGAGAAGCTGACCCTTTGCACACCAAGTCAGAGGGAAACAGTTTGTACAACAGAAGTTTTCACCTCAAGGATCTGGGAATGTAAGGAATCTTAAGAGGTAAGGCTTGTTCTGTTCCCATCTATTTTTCTAGCCATCCTTCCTTGTCTTTGTTCTCCTTGGTGATCTTTTAAACAAAACATTGTATTTCCTTATAAGCATGGTTTAATGATTGTATAGTATCTTTCAATACAATTGCCTCCAATAAAATCTCAGCACTATGGACACTGTGCATCCCTTCGAGCTTCTTGCAAGAGGGTTCCTTTGTCCACTCTGCTGAAAACTCACAATATAGACTCTACATCTTGTTTGATGAAACTGAACTCTGCTATCTACAGCACATACATATTTCTCAAAAAAATATTACAGGAAACTTAAGTTTAAAATGAAAATAAGCAAGGTCTTAGTACGAAACCCAATGTCAGAATGGCTGTTTCATTATACTACAGATTAGGTAATGGCTAACAAACTTCAATATTAGCGGCTAACATATCACTTCAAAATGAGGACGATTTTATTGTTTTCCAAGAATACAAATACCTCAAATGAACTTGCAGAAGGAATCTCTTGTGACTGTATGGAAGCATCACCTGTCTATTAAAAAACAAAAACAAAAACAACCCAAAACCTATGGCCTATAGGAAAGGGCAGAATAGAAGGTAGGACGCCTACCAGGCAGAAAGGATTCTGGGATAGAGCCAGGCAGGAGATTCACCCAATAAGATTTGAGGAAGACAGATGCATGGAATGGTAACAGATGCATGGACAGGTAAGCAGCCATGTGGCTGAATGTAGATTACAATAAATGTGTTATTTTACGTTATGAGCTAGTCAGAGAAGAGCCAAGCTATAAGGCCTAGGTATTTGTAAATATATTTTAAGTCTCATGAGTCATTATTCTGGGATCTTAGGGCCGGGAAGAAAAGCCACCACAAAATGAACCTGTGTGATAGTGCATGAATTCATAAGGATTGGACAATGAAGTAAAACATGAGAGAACAAAAAGACAAAAGTACCCACTAGCCTACCACTGTCAGTTCTGGACCATCCACTCATATGAAACACAAAGCACTTAATTATATCACTGTCTCTCTTCAAAACTGTTATCTGATATTTTGATCATTCTTTCATATCCAACAACTTTGGTTCTTTCACACAGCTTCTCTAAATCCTACTAGTAAGACCATCAATCCAGGAAGTATTCTACTTCCTCAACTCATTTTAGCTTTTATGGCTTGAGAAGACAGGTGTTCCTAATCATCAATGTATGCTAAACTAGTATTACAGTCTTTTCACTCTTATATTCCACTTCTAAATTTTTTCTTTCCCCTCACAAGACCTCAGCCATTAATTAGCTTTTTGTTCTTAGAAGCTTCTTTCTAGTTTCAGCTCATGTC